TTCTTAAACATTTTAAAAACCTTGTTTATTTTAGACAAAACAATAGTTTAGTTATATAAAATACACTTAGAGAGAGAGACCTTCTAGAAACGCTAAAATGCATTACCAGCACGCAAAACCTTAAATTAGAGTGAATAAATGAAGACTCAGCACATCACTTCTGAAAGGCTGCTGACCCCTGCAATAGGCATTATTATTATTAATTTATTTATTTAATTGTTTTATTTATTAAGTGTTTTTAAAGCATGAGCTGGGCCCTCTAATAATGACAGTGACTGAAAAATCATTTATATTTCATAGTAATAATGTGTGTGTGCTTATTATTTGCCTTCTAGTTTTTGAATATTTGAGTTATTCAAACCAGTGAATATTTGGGTGAACTCTGGTCATGTTTAGAAGATTTCATTACAGGGTCTTACCTAGAGTTAAGGGCGTGCCCCAATGAGCCACTTTGGGCCATTTCATCTCTGCCTTATACAATACTAGTCCACTTATTTCATAAAACCTTCTACTTACTCACCAACAGCCCTTTCTGTTTCATCGAAGGCCACATATAATTTACATCTGATAGTTGCCTGCTCGTCTATGCTAAAAGCTTTGTATGGGTTTGTTCTTCTCAGATTTCTAAGGATCACCTGACAAAATTACATACAAACAAAGCATCATCATTAGAAATAAGTTACGCCTACTGAGAGTTTGGTCCCATACATACGTCGTGACAAAAATGACAAACACAAGCATGGTGTTGAGACTATTGCATTAACTTGATAAATGTTATCTGCAGGGCCGGTGCAACCCATTAGGTGACCTAGGCTGTCGCCTAGGACGCTAACATTTGGGGGGTCCCTGGATGATCGAGATACAAAAGGAGCACTTAAAGACAATAAAGTCATTGTGGAGAAAGTAAATGAATTCTTTGCTTCAGTCTTCACAGCTGAGGATGTTAGGGAGATTCCCAAACCTGAGCCATCCTTTCTAGGTGACAAATCTGAGGAACTATCACAGATTGAAGTGTCACTAGAGGTGGTCTTGGAATTAATTGATAAACTTAACAGTAACAAGCCACTGAGACCAGATGGCATTCACCCAAGAGTTCTGAAAGATTTCAAAAGTGAAATTGCAGAACTATTAACTATGGTTTGTAACCTCTCCTTTAAATCGGCTTCTGTACCCAGTGTCTGGAAGATAGCTAATGTAATGCTAACATTTAAAAAGGGCTCTAGAGGTGATCCCAGCAATTACAGACCAGTAAGTCTAATATCAGTACCGAGCAAATTAGTTGAAACAATAGTAGAGAATAAAATTGTCAGACACATAGAAGAAGATAAATTGTTGGGCAAAAGTCAACATGGTTTCTGTAAAGGGAAATCATGTCTTACTAATCTATTACAGTTCTTTGAAGGGGTCAACAAACAAGTGGACAAGGGGAATCCAGTGGACATAGATTTCCAGAAAGCCCTTGACAAGGTCCCTCACCAAAGGCTCTTACATAAAGTAACTTGTCATGGGATAAGAGGGAAGGTCCTTTCATGGATTGAGAACTGGTTAAAAGACAGGGAACAAAGGGTAGGAATCAATGGTAAATTTTCAGAATGGAGAAGGGAAACTAGTGGTGTTCCCCACGGGTCAGTCCTAGGACCAATCCTATTCATATTATTCATAAATGATCTGGAGAAAGGGGTAAACAGTGAGGTGGCAAAGTTTGCAGATGATACTAAATTGCTCAAGATAGTGAAGACCAAAGCAGACTGTGAAGAATTTCAAAAAGATTGGGCAACAAATTGGCAAATGAAATATAATGTGGATAAATGTAAAGTAATGCACATTGGAAAAAATAACCCCAACTATACATACTATATGATGGGGGCTAATTTAACTACAACTAATCAGGAAAGAGATCTTGGAGTCATTGTGGATAGTTCTCGGAAGACGTCCACGCAGTGTGCAGCAGCAGTCCAAAAAACAAATAGGATGTTAGGTATCATTAAAAAATAGAGAGACAATAAGATTGAGAATGTTATTGCCCTTATATAAATCCATGGTACGCCCACATCTTGAATACTGTGAACAGATGTGGTCTCCTT